ACACACTCGATGAGGGAAGGATTGCTGCTAGATAGTGACACTATGATGTTTGCGGACCTTGGCGTCATGGTATCCGATGAGGCGGCCTTGAAGGCATCCCTGGCTTCAAAGGGTGCTGCAGGGACATTGATGTGTGCCCACTGCAGCAATTGCGTGACTCGAGGGCTGGATGCTCATGACAGGCATGAGCGCTTGGTCAAGTTCACAGAGACAGACTTCTCCAAGTTCGTCCCACACACAAACGAGTCTGTGACCGCAATCGTGCAGCACTTGGCAGCTCAGAAGCCGCTTCTTGGCAAAGTTGCTTTCGAGAAGATGGAACAGTGCCTTGGGTTCAACTTCGAGCCACGTGGGCTGCTGAACCATCCAACCCTAGGACATCGGATGCTCGAAACGGCGCCTGGCCAGAATCAGAATGAGGCTTTGTTGTTTTGAGACGCTTTGCCCATATCTTTGCTTTGTCCGATGCAAAGAACATATGAGACGTTGACGGCCGGGGGGATTATTTCTTTTTGCTCTGAGGTGATGTTTGATTGGTTTCACATCTACCTCGTTCACGGTATTGTCAACCTTGAGGTAGGTCTGCTGCTGGGTCGCTTGGCTTTGGCGGGTCACCCGAGTTCCAGGATAGCTGCCTTCATCAACCAGTTTGTTTGGCCTGCCCAATTCCGCGGGGCGACCCCGCCCAAAGATGCGCTGACCAAACGAGCTGGCAGTGACCCGTTGAAGTGCAGCGCCAGTGAGGCTCTGCACATCACACTTGTCATCCGGGTATATTTGCTGGCTTATCTTGGAAAGGATATGCTGGAGGATCTTCGAAAGCCCTGCGAAAGTTTTCTGCGATTGAGATCCGTTCTGGACCGCCTGGAGGCCCATCAAAGAGGTGAGGATCTTACCCCTGAAGCCTTGGAGACCACGATCTCTCACCATCTGCAGGCTTTTCTCTCCGCATACGGGCCAGACCCCTGGACTCCCAAGTTCCATATGGCCCTGCATTTGCCGTCCTTCCTCAGGAAGCACGGTTGCATCATCAATTGCTGGTGCCACGAGAGGAAGCACAAAGCCATCAAGCAGTTTGCAAACAACCGGCTTGACACTTCGAAGCAGTGGGAGAAGGGGCTTCTCATGGACGTGCTCCGCCGGCACCTTGATGCGCTGCAGAAGGAGGACTCCATGCCACAGATTGCTCCAGGCTTGTCACGACCGCATGCGGCCCCAGCCAAACTCAGAAGTGCTGTACAGCAGCTCTTGGGCACGCAGGAGCCTGTTCTCACTGCAGTCGAGGCCATCCATGGTAGACTGTTTGGCGGGTCCCGGGGCGACGTTGCCCTTGCCAGACACGAGGGGGCATGGGTGGTTGGGAACGTTTGGTTCCACGTTCAGGTCGGCCCTACGTGCTTGACATGCATGACTGCGTGGCAGCACGTGGCCAAAGACATGTACACAGTGACCCATGAACCATTTCTGCTGCGCACAGACAGCATAGTTGAGTCCATGCCCTATAGCCAACAAGCCAACGCTGCCATAGTGCTGGTGCCTGGGCACGCGCTCCGAAGTGCTAATTTGGGAGAACGTGTGGCGTGATTGCACAGAAAAAGATGCGTGCCCTGCGTGCGAGCTATGTAAAGAAGCCCTGCAAGCGAGCACGAAGCTGGCAACCCTGCGATTAATTTTGCTTGAAAGCCGAATTTCGTGTTGCAAGTCTCCCTAGCTGAGCAAGACCTGCTTGTGTGTGGGTAAGTACTTAGCCTACATAGGTAAGTACACATACAGCTGCCTTCAAACACATATAACTATATGTGCATCATAGTAAGCCAGCTCAACAACATACAAATAAATACTATGTCCAACATGTTACATGCTGCACATGCAGTACATATAGCCACACATGTAGAAGTTATAACTTGGTTTGTCAAACTTATATCCGCGTGTATAGGTCGGCGAAGTCCAACAAACACTTACCAAGCACGCGCCCCTTCAAGTAGGCATTGATGCGGCCTACGAGCAGCTTCGTCGTAGTTGCTGGGACTAAGCATGACACTTTCGGCTCATGTGCTGCCTCGCGCTTACCATGTTCGAAGATGGTGTAAGTTTGACGCGCTTCACTGTACTCCGCGGTGTACACCGCATGACACTTCGGCCCTTTCTGCTGCTTTGTTGTTTCTCCTGCGCACATGCAAAGCAATTTTGGCTTGGTGACACGCCACCGGCTTTTTGTTTGCGATGCTCGGTACCCTTTGCCATGGATGCGGTCTGGAAGGCTGCGGTCACCCCATGCCACTAACGCTTTCCACTGCTCCAGCATCGGCATTTCTTCTGCCGCACGCACTTGGTGACTGGTGACGGATGATGCGACTGTCCGCAGGCGCAGGGATGGCGCTACTGGCCGACGCAGCGCCTTCTCACCTGCGGCAGGTCGCTTGCTGGCAGCTCGCCGCCAGCCATTGTCGGCAACGCTGCTGCTGGAAAGCTCGCTGGATCCACACGCAAGCGCTGCAACACGGGCAAAAGCTGGGCTTTGCTGCGCTTTGTGAAATTCAGGGTGGCGCCTCCCAGCACGGATGTCTCCCAGACACAAATCGGTCGCCGCTTGCAGCACTGCCTCGCGTCGCCCGAATGCCGCTGCCGGATCTTCGTTCCGCCGAGTGCGATATTTACCTATACGGTCATGCAGCGCTGTGTGAATGATTACGGGGCCATTGCAAGCCCGAAGCATCTCACCAACGTCGGCTTCCACAGCTGTAAGGCTTGGCTCGTCCATTGCCTGCGGCATGGATGGCTGACGGGAACGGCCACCGGCCTGACCGCGAGCATTGCGCGCGATTTCTACGTCCAGCACAGCGCCGCCAAATGCTTGACGTATTTGAAAGAAGCGCAGACTGCATTTCAAAGCAGCGTCACTTACAACAAGGCCTTGGCCTGCAACGCGCGATGGCTGGAACGCATCTTCACACATTGCCACCAGCGCAGAGTAGCCTGGAATCCAGTAAATGCTCTTCCCTAACACTGTTCGCACGCCGTACCGAAATTCTCGCTTGAATGCTCTGAGGATGCCAATTTGATAATCCATTTCTCCGTCTTGCCCCGTGCGGGCTGAAACAGCAGCTCTCTGCTGCGGTCTCCACGCATGGGCCAAACTTTCGGGCGGCATTCTGCCAGATTCGGTGCAACAAGGGACAAAGCACCTCTGCGGCGGGGCGCCTGCGCTCAACTTCCACAATATGCTCTCTTGCAAACGAACCCCAGCTTGCGCCGCATTTCTGCCGGCGCCCACCACTCTCTGAGCACTGACACTTGCTGCAAGAGGCAAACATTCACGTTAGTCTTGTCGAATGCGACCGGCTGCGCAAAAACGGCTTGCTCTGTGGTTTCGGCGGCGTTCTTCGTTTGGCTAGGCCTGCGAGCACGCGCGCATTCACGTGCTGCCCGAGTGCGTTCTTCTGTTGCTGTGGCCCACCTATACTCTCAAAAGTCCATGCTTCTTTGCGGTCAACGCGGCCACTGCTTGGATAATCAGATGCCAGCTGATTGCATGCCTCGGGGCTCAGTAGCGCTACGCCCTGTTGCGATATGTGCAACTGAGTCCTGGCAAGCCGGGGCAGTTTCTTTTCGACATGATGAACACGCTGCTGGCGAACACTTTGCATATCAACATGCAAGTGCAGCCTGTGAGCAGCAAAGACCCGTCCATCAAAATTGCCCCACGCTACTGGAGCGTGCCAACTGGAGACAGCACCATTGGCAAATCACCTTGCTTCAACATGATGAAGTCGATCTACTTGGAAGCCATGAAAGCCGTTGCGGAGCATTTTCCGTTCGGCGCGCATGCCAACGCAAATGTGCATTTGGATGGGTCGCATGGCAGCTTCAATTAGAAGCTGGCAGCATCGTGCAGCTGCACGTACCAACGTCTAGCGCTTCGTCTCAGATGCTGCACGCCCTGAAGCGTTTCATCCATCACTTCTTCCAAACTGAAGAATGTACTGCGTGTGCAACGGCACGCGGCCCCACATGGCTGCGGCCACCTCTGGTGGCTGATTTAACATGGCCTCTGCCCGTCACTGGACTTCACCATCTGCGTTTGCACGAAAGCAAGGCGCCGGAATCGGGCTTGGCAGGCTCAGCATGCCAGGCACGGTTGTTGCTTGCGAGTCCCAAGTCGGTTGTATGGCTTGGCGTTCCTCGCCCAGAGCCCGCGGCATTGGCTCTGCCTGGTCCCGCTGCATGGGTGCTGCCAACACGCCTGCGCCTGGCTCGTTAGCACCGCCGGCAACCCAGGCGCCTACGTTCTGCGTCGCTGACGCGGCGGGGCAGCCCCGGTCTGCCAGCCTCCGTGATGTTCATGTTGTTCGCCAATATGCCACAGACCCCATTCACCCACGCACTTGCCCAAGCAGTCGCTGACCTCCTCATTGACTGACAACGAACCAACCAACCAACCAACCAACCAACCAACCAACCAACCAACCAACCAGCCAACCGGCCAGACTGCCAGCCAGGCCAACCAACCAGCCGCCCAACCAACCCGCCGACCAACCAATCAATCAACCAATCAACCAACAAGACCCACCCTCATGAAGATCCAAGCCAGCCAAAACCCCCTAATCAGCCCGCAGCGCTCCCAGCTGCCACTCAATCAGAGCCAAACCCAGGTCCAAGTGATGCTGGTGATGCTGATGCCGGGGATGCGGCCAACCAACCAACCAACCAACCAACCCAACCCAACCCAACCCAACCCAACCCAACCCAACCCAGCCCAACCCGACCAACCAACCAACCAACCCATGACCAGACCTAATAAAAAAACCAGACCTAGTAAAATCACAAACACTACCTCCAGCCCCGAGCTCACCGCCACAACAGCAAACCTCCTGGAACTCTTAGACTTCCCACCAATGCGGTTGCCTTCAAGTCGGAAAACCTAAACATCAACATCTCTTGTTGGAATCCATCAGACAAGGCGACACCGGAAAGCTTGGATCCGCGACTCTTGGCCGCACCTCGGCCAGCTTGTCGGGTGGCCCATTGGATTGGAAGGTGACGTTGCCCCGCACCGTGAGATTCCCGCGGACGACCCACGGCCCGTCCATCTCAACCTGGCAGCCCAGCATCACTTGGCGGTTTCATGGGACCAGGTCGAACCAAGCAAACCAAAAGGGGAAGGTGGTTGCCCTTGAAAATTCGTTTGGGGATGTGCCTAATCTTTCGCACCACTGCCTGAAGCTTGAAGGATCCTTTTCAGGTGGCCAATGAGCAACATGCCGTGGGCCTGTCCACTGAAGCAAACACATCATGGAAGGCAACACACCGCGGCTCATGGCGAAACCGCGCACGCAACCAGGAGGAAACAACACCAGCCTTACTCCGTCAGTGGGGTAAAGGAGTGCTGGCCCATGTGGCAACCACAAATGTCGAATCCTCACATGGGCTCGGCTCCCCCACGTCCCACCTCAAGTCGAAAAACAGATATCCGATGCCCTGCCTGGACATCCGTCCCAGCGCCAATGGTGCAGTCCGGCAGCTGGAGGCCTGATTTGTTCACTTTGTACCAGCCCGTCTTCAGCTCGTCGCAACTGTCAGGGAACGGCAGGACTTCCCCGCGGCGCTCCCCAAGATCCTCGCGGCACGATTCGAGGACCAACACCGCAGCCATAGAATAATGTGTCGCAGGAGACAAGACCATCAAGCTGCCACTGAAAACTGGATGTATCCAAATCCTGCTGTTGCCTCCGAAATAACAAGTCCAAGTGCCAAACAGTTGGAATCTCGTATTTGTTTACAGAACATCACGGCAAAGAAGTCAAAAGATAGGATGTCTTTCCGGCACATCAGCAGTCGGCGAAACCATCACCAACCCCCTCATCCCAGATGCTGAGAATGATTCGCCCATGATTCGCCCTGGTGCCTGATGAACCCGTTCTGCCGCGGTCAGTGCCGCCAGAAAAGCTGCCCAGGCAAGGGGCTGCCGAAGCATCGGTGATACGGACCCATACGGAACGGATTTCACAGCCTGGATATTGCGATGCTCAGCAGCAGCGGCCCACTGAGACAAATCTAGCCTGATTCCCACATCTTCTTAAGTGCGCGCGCCACACATAGCCGCACAACCCGGCCAAATACGGCGATGCCTGTCACCTACTTGCAATGATAGGGAATCAGCCATAGCTGCTCACGGGTGTTACTGCACGACTTGAGGAGGCACGTGAGTTCAGGATGCTGGCAGGAACAAACTCGTTGATTGTCTACCCAACAGCTGGGGGGACAAGTCAATTTCCCATGCCCGGGGCTCGCTTGAAATGGTTTCAGTCGAAAGGCAAGCCGTGTCAAGTTTCGATTCGCCCGTCTTCCAGGGGTCACTGGACTCCTGAAAACTTGATCAATTCACGGATTCCAATGCGACTGGGGTCCCAGGAAGGTTCTATTGAAAAAGGCGACTGGGAGGTAAAACCAGCTTGGTCCCTGCAGTCCCTGGAGTCCCTGCAGTCCCTGCAGAAATACGTCACTCACAATGTCATTGGTAGTCTTCTCTTGAGGGAAACCCAAATTCTCCCATCAAAAACCAAGGGGAGGAGTGGCGGAGCTGATGTTGTCGGAATGATAGTTGGAAGAGAGGAAATCAACAACTATAACAGTTCCACAGCAAGTTTGCTTCCGGCAATTAATCTTGTGATACACTCGATAGACGAAGCAAGATAGCAGTGGATGGCGTTTGTGTGTGTGTGAGGTCATGTCCATCATTCCCCGCTGAGAACCAGCAAGTGTTTAACAGAGAACCCAGAAAAAGACTGCCAAAAGGCTATCAAATGGAAAAAATGGGTTTCTCTGAAAATAGACTCTCCAAACAGTTGCGTTTCCTGTTTTCCTCTAAACAAACTGCTGTACAAACCTATAAAACAGGTAACCTCCAAAAAAAGCAGACACCCAAATCGACTCGCCGAGCAGGCTTCTTCACTTCTTCCATCTGAGCCTGCTCACCTCAGCTCTCGTCACATGGGTGGAAAATGTTTAGCGAAAGACAAATCATGGTCTTAGGCTGTGGCTTGCAGCTGCGCTGAGCTTTTTTGGGGTCCGGCAGCCAATGGCCGAGGCTTCACTAGGCCATGCTGACCAAAGCCAGAGTGGCAACTAGACCTCGGATGTCTCCTGAGTGTGGCCAAATCTGATCGGTAGCTGATCAAGCGTCTGGACCACAGAATCAAATATGTGGCTCGCGGCCACAAATTTCTCTTCAAATCCACACTCAGCACTCATCGTGGCTTTAAAAAGAGCCAGCATGGCCCAGGGCGCTTTACAGAACACTGCGATAATTAAGTATCCAGTTGCCTCCGCAAGGCCAGAGGTTCATTTTGATTGAGTAGTCAGACAGGCTTTCATCGCTGCCGTACGTCAGGTGTTCACTCGGCTGTTTGGTAATCTTCGAGCTGGCGCTTTGGGCTCTGGGATCTTACCCGGCGCCCGAGAGCGTCAGCCGTCAAATGAAGCTGACGGTCTTGACCACCAGCTCCACCTCCTGCCCCTTCTGCAGCACCTCCAGCTGTTGCCGGGCCTCCTGAGAGCGATGCTATGGCGGCCTATGGCGCCCCTTCTTGTTCTTCCGGTTTTTGAGGGTGACACAGTTCATGGCGCAGAGCGATCCAAACGGAGCTGAATCTGCGCTATGTTGCTTCTGTTTGAAAAAGGCTGTGAGCAAGTTGCACCTCACAACCCGCGCCAAAATGTGAAACCCGGCACACTCGGGCTCTCTCGGGCTCTCTCAAACTCTCCTGAAAGAGGCGCATGGCCAACGCCTCGCAGCTGTCCGGGCGCAGCGCCTGCCAACAAACGAGTGGCTCGGCATCGCACCTGTTCTGACTTCCCGGAAGCTGGAGCTGTTGCTCCAGATTTGGCATCTCCAAAAAGGTCCAAAGTGGACCTCTGACCAGGTCTGATCAAGTCTGACAAAAAGCTCCTTTTGATTTTGAGCCGCATCTTTGCCAGTCGCCAAACCATCGGGGCGCCCGATTGGAAGGCGCCTGCCCGGCGGCCAGCAGGAAAGGAAGCAGCACAGACACCCGGCTCAGCCAAAGCCAATGCGGAAACTGCGCTTTGGGGTTGCCAGCTCCGGCAAATCCCACAGCCGCCGCTGCGAGGCCTCATGCTGCGTCCATTGTCCAAGAAGCAATCCCAACATCCATGAGGAGAGCAGCTTGCAACAAGTTTGTGATTTGATGCTGCACACAGGTCCACTCGCGGCGGGAAAGGTTGTTTTAATCCATTTGAGTGATCTACACTTTGATGTGACCCCCAGGAACTGACGGCGATCACGTCCAGCGGAGGAGCACAGCAAGGAAAAGAAGTGGAGCTCGTTCATCTGGCGCGGAGGGGCGTCAATCGGTCTGTCGTCTCCCAGCTTGCTTCACAATCGCTTTCCATACATTCGCATCATGCAACCTGCGACAGGGTCGCGCCTGTGGCTGGATGTAAGGCTGAACCATAGCAATCGTAGCCGCCATGCCAAGGACAAATGCCAGGGAAAGGTGGAAAGCATCTTCCGTGGAGATGACCTGGTGGGCGCATCAATGATCATGTCAGCGCACGTGCAAGGATCCCTTGGTCAACCACAGGCTTCATTGATTCATGCCCCAGTTCTGAAGCCATGGTTGCGTCGCTCTTCACAGGGCGCTAAGGCCAAAGAATGCAAGTCACAATGGCACAACTTCTCCTGGCCCTTTAACAATGGACAACGTCGTGCTCACTTCCGGTCTTGCGACTCCCGAAATGTGGTCTTGTTCCGACTCCCTTCTGCCATGTGGCGGTGACCAGTCCGACGGCCAAGAGCTTCTGCAACATCTCCATCCACACGAAGCGGCAGAAGGCCTTAAACATGAAAGCCGACAAACGACGAGATGCTCTGCTTGGAAAAGAAAGCCGGCCTCCGTGTTGATCTTGGCATAAAGCTGGCTCTGTCCCTCGCTGCCTAGACAGCCCTTCACAAAGACCGTCCACCTGCCGCCGTGCAGCATATTTGAAGAACACCTCCTTGGCGCCAGAGAGGAAGCCTCAGCTTTCAAAGCGCTTCAACAAGTGATGTCTCTCGCGTGCGATCACCAGAAAGCATGGAACAAATTTTGTGTGTCCGCACGCACGACAATCTGCGGGAGGCACACGGTCAATGTCGGAGGTCCCTGCCACTCGGAAGAGGGCAAGTGATGCCTTCATCTTTCATGTAGCACCCGGAATCCGCCAGCCAACAAAGCACCGCCCACGTTTCAGAACTCCTCACGTTGCCTCATCATGTCAATGTGGACCTAGAAATAAAACTGTCTGGCCGGTGCAAGCCCGGATTTGTGCTGCCGAGGCTCCATCTGACTCGGAGGCTTTCTCCATCTCACAGCGCTCCACCAGCATCTCCATGATGGCTCGTGAGCGGAGCATCTCCGCTACTTCACCCCCACGGTCCAAGAAGCTGCTCACCTGACCAGGCAAGCTCAGTTGCCCACTGACATGCATCTGGAGCAAGCAAGGAAAGTGTAACCAAACTGCGCGGCCAGCTTAAACCAGCAAGCAACTGCCCGTTCTTGGCATTCCCTGATTGCAGGCGCCAACTAGCAGTAACACTCGAGAAGAATCGGGAAGCGGCCCAATGTCACGTACAGAGCTGTCCGCAATCTGTTGATTATGTTTACGGCCGGTTTGCAGTTAGCTCGGCATCTGCTCGTCCTTCGCTCTCTGGTGACTTCATCTCCCTTGGCTCGGCAAGCGCGCCTTTTCGGAAGTTTATGCGAAGAGAAAACACACATTGCATGAGATTCTATCAGGCAAGAGACGCCTTGCCGTCTTGCAGCTGCAGCCAGACCTGCGTAGTGGCTTGTGTGTGCTTTTGTGGACGCTGTTCAAACAATCCCCCCACCCTCCCAATGTTCACGACACTTGACAAGTGAGGGTTGTTCTAAAGAACTGCGCGGGCCAAAGACAATAACCAAACGAGTTGTTTGGTGGAAGTTGGTTTCGTGTGTTTTCGCTTACGCGAACACAGCGAAACCACAAAAGCTGAGCTTTTCAACCTGTGGAAGACAAAAGCGCCTACAATCCGCGCAAGCGATGCATGGAACCGTGGGTGAGGTCCTGCTTTGTTGCAGATTGGGCATTGCCATTGTTCTGCATCATGTTTGCCACACTGACAAACCTAGGGAAAAGCCACATTTTCAATTCCATATTTCCTCTCGAATAGCTACTTCCAATTGCAGGGCAGTTAGAACTCTGCTCAAGTGTGATAACCAACTACATACAACGGATGCTGGGACACCCTGCACCCTGCAAGGATACTGAAGCATCCCTGCTAGCAGGCTGGGAAAGCATGCAGAAACTCTGGGGTGGGATACCGGAGTGCCAGGATTCTTGTACTAATCTACGTCTCGGGTGGGACAAATCTGACATGTCGCACAGATCAACTAAGGTCTGGAACTATCAACCGCGAGCGCGCGCACACAAACACACACAGCGCGTGGTTGCTCAGCACTGCAAAACCACCAGGTGGGGAGAAAAGGGTTAGTTGGTAGGTGTCGGCCACCTCGCCTTGCCCTGGAATGTGACTGCCATGTGGGCCACTGCAGCAGCGAGGAGGTGCTCATCATTGACCTGTCACTGAGACTGAACCTGCCCTTACCGTCTCCATGTTTGGTCACTGGCCGTGTCCACAACCACGCCAAGACATCTCAGCTTCCCTTGCAAACTGGAGATGGAAGGAGCCTTAGGATGTTACACGGCATTCCAATGAGACGCATCCTGTTCATTCATCCGCCACGACTCGCTCCGGCCTCGATAGGTTGATCCAAAGCTCTGACCGAGCGTAGCTCCGTGATCCAGCTCCTCTTCGCCCTCTTTGCATGAGCCGTGATGGTCTTGCTCGGTCTCCTCGGACGGAAGCTAACAGTCGGTGCCCAAGGGAAAAACCGCTTTCAAAGGCCCCCCCATTCGCGTGGTTCATTGGACACTGGACAGGCGGTAAGAACAGGAACGTGCACACACACTCAGACTCCGGACTCCCTCGAGAGGGAGGGTGGAAGAAGACTCAGCCAATTGATTTCGAGTCTGCGCTGCTTCCCTCTGGAAACTTTAACGGGCCAAAGCAAACAACAGCGGCTCGGGGGCCAGAAGGACCTTCAAAGTGTCACAACCTTCTCCAAACCCACTCTGCCTCCCTCCGTTCCCTGATCTGCATTTGCTCTCCTTCCAGCATTCCAAGGCCTTTTCTTGGCCATATTTTGCCATGCGCCTCCGGCTTCCTGTCTTCCAGCCTGTTGCGTCGCGTCCTTGGTCTTGTTGGTGTTCACAGCTCCAAGGGTCCCAGGATCCGCTGGTGGCAGAAGAGTGCCACACCGCATTGGAGCAGAAGGTGCGCCATGACGTGTTGTGAGCAGAGAATTTTCTACGTGTGCTCTAAAGCTTTAACAGTTTAATGTTTCTATGTGTTCTATTTGTGTTCTATCTTCTTTCTTTCTTTTTTCTTTCCGGAATTGCAACAGGACTAAGAACTGCAACGCGGGAAGCGGGTACCCCTATCCTAGTAGTTTGTTGCAACTTCGCGCCGGCCCAACCCCTCCACCCCCAAAAATGCAACAGGCAATTGCATTGCTTTCAGCCAACCCCCCCGAATTTCAATTAGTTAGGGGGGTGATGCTTGAACGCCTTGGGCGCGCAATATAGAGTTTGTTTTGCCTTGCCCACTTTATCTTATATAACAACATGTCCATTTTTCCAAAATCCGCCCGCCGTATTCCACAAAGTCCATCATACATTAACACATTCAATTTATGTCATTAGAGTATATAATCTAATCCAGATTGTTCCAGTAGTTTCATGTTTCGTCCTTTTCCTTCTTCAGTTCTAAAATAATATTCTTTCTGGCAACAAACAGCTTGTGGTAATATTCATTCAAAATCTTTGCTCGCCTCTTTCTGCTTATACTTCCCCATAATATCTCTGCCTGGTATTTCTGCAATTGATACAAGTTTTGAAATATTTACTAGTTTCATCACTTTGAGAACATGAGGGGGCGGGGGTTATTACATTTACATTTAGAATACTGCGTTTCGTCCATACCACTATTTCTGGAAGCGCCTTTTTACCAAAAAAAGAGAATCATTTACGAAACATTTTGGGAAATACTGTCTATAGAAAAGCCTTGCAAGGCTATGTAGATAGAATCTAACATATATTCTAGCCATGCGTCATTTACAACTACAATTTCACATCCTACAAAATGGTATGATACTGTATAACGTATGTGTGTATTCATTACTCTTGCTTTGCGCTGCTAGATTTGCAATTACATTGCCATTTTTCATACCAGTAGAAAAGCCACAACCGCAGAAATTGCATTAATTGAAAATATTGTGCACAAACCATTGAGCATTTACATAACATTCTTTATGTGTGGTTTGTTTTGCTTTTCTGTCTTGTTCTTTGTAATTTAGCACTTTTCTTTCAAAATAGCGTAAAATGCATTTCCTTTGTATATTAAAACAACTTAACTTTGGTTAAATCTCTACATCGTGTAATTGCTGTCCATATCCATTCTGGTACCAAGACATGGTTCTCATCAAAATTGAAATTGTGTCACCAATGCTACTGCCCTGTGCGGAATGACAAGCGGAGCAAGAAGCCAATCTAAAATGATATTCATTTTAACAACTTCTATGCGATTCAAAACTTCTGTTTTGACATTCTTTAATGTAAATATTCCGCTTCCCATATTAACAACTATATGTTTGACATTGACGTTAACAACTGATGTTTTAGCTTTAGTATATGCTCTACAAAATAGACACTCTCCTACTTCATACTCATCTTTCCTATTTCCAGTTCCTAATTTCATTGGACAATTTTGCAAGTTGTATTCAAAAAATCTAAGTTGTTTTTTGGAACGACGTGTGTCTGCTGTGCATTCAAAATATTTCCCAATAACTGTTTTACTTGGTAATTTACTAAAAAACAAGTTTTGATTTTGTTGGGTTTCTCTTTGTCTTCCTGTTTGTTAAGTCTCTTACATTATTTTAATATTATATAATGTGTAACAGTAAAATACTTACTTTATAACCCTATTTTTTGACGTATATAACTCTTGCCTGTGCCCGGATATAATCCTCTAATCAAAAAAAGATTATTCTGCTCAGTGACTTCAATAATTTGTCGGTGTCGTATTCATCTTCAACATCAATCGTTTTACTGTCATAAACTGGTATGTCTTCATACGAACTCATTTTTTGCCACTTCATGTTTTACGGTAGGAAATTGAATTTCTTCGTCTTGTTCTGAAACTTCCCAACCAATATTATTATGGAATTCTAGTATTTCTTTTGCCTCCTCAACATTACAACTATTAATTACAAACGCATCTGTTTTAATATATACATGAATATTATTCAAAATTCATAAGTAAAAATGTGGGACCTTTTAAAATTGTGATGTTGTTAGAACCGCAATTCTTTAACATACCTATAACCGTTCTTCAACTCTGCTCTACCTCTTAAAACCAAAATATTATATGATGCTTGTGTGTCCCCTGCTCCTTCTCGTCCTCTTTACACATCAATACTTTTAAACAAAATGCCTTTATGAGCAGTAGCGCCTCCCTTTTCTAGTAATCCGAAATTGACATTTGCTATTGACTTTTTGATGATTTTAGCTAAGTCCTTATCATCTTCATCTATAACAGAAATCCAAAGTTCATCAATGATACTTTTTTAATCCACCTTATGGATGAATGAAGGTTTTTTTGCTACGCAATCTTAAATTGATGCTTGTTGTTCTCCTTTCTGACTTCTTTTAGAAATTTGCCACATTAAGTTCTACTT